ACTTTTTGCATTATGTTTTCATTTATTGTTTTCTCTATCGATGGATGTATACCTAATAATATGGATTTTAATGCCGATTTAGAAAAACAAGAGTTCATAAAATGAATTAATCTGATATATTTATTCAATTTTAGCATAATTTAAAAAAATATGTATATAGCATTTAAATATACCAAGCAATTCAAAATTTCTACAGCCAATAAAATATGCTGACTAGAGATAGACTACTCTTGTCCACTTCTTGTTTTTTTTTAATGGGAATATCAGAATGTTTATGCATGTATCATCTTGTAGTCTAGTCATTATAGTAAGTTCACCTCGGAATTCGAGATACCCACCTGTAAGTCTGTAAATACTTGTATATTGACACCTAAATGTTGTCTCAAACCCTACGTATGTTGCGTACACCATGAGACAACTTTTAGGTGTCAATATACAAGTATTTACAGACTTACAGCTGGGTATCACGAATTCCGAGCTTCTTACCTAATTTAAGCTTAAATGACTGGACTATTGAGATCTTAAGATTGTCTAAAGTATCAATATGTCAACAAATCAAAGTAAGCCCAATATCAGCAATTCAAATTTTCAGAAGTGATCAATTCTCTAATAAAGTCGTTGCGGAAAATAATGGCAAATTATGTGATCACGTCCAGATTAATCTTCAATCCAGCTCTCCAGCTATTTTCAATATTGTGATATTGTGACGTTGTGATCCCAAGTTGATCTGTTTCTGAGCTCAGAATTCATTTGGCTCTCGGCTATGGATTTCAACAACGAGAAGAAACGCACCTCACAGAACAACGATAATAATAATTATGTTATGCGTTTAATTTGATTCCACATTTCGGATACGATCGAAATTCAAATTGCCACGGAATGAGGTCCACAAATGATATTTTTAACAGTCATGAATAGCCTTTAATTTTATTTTTTTATTCGAGCATGTGAATCACAAAGTCGTAGATTGCAGAAAATAAATGCAGAGATAAATCTAATTACTTCGCATTTTGATAAATAATTTATAAAGACATCGAACTATCAAAAGCTCTCATCAAAAAATTATATAGAGTAGGGCGGGGCAAAAAGGTTCAAATTAATTAACATATAACATATATCAAGCAAACAACTATCTGATTATGTTCAGTAAAACTCTCCGCTAATTGATTATAGTAGAAATATGTTATTTCTACAGTTTTTCAAAAATTTGTAACCTTTTTTTACCCCATATCCGGTTTATTTTCAATTTTGAAGGGATTTTACAAAATACAAGGCAAAATATAAATTTCACCGGTACATTTTTTGCGAAAGATCCATAGCTGTAGTTTGAACTTTATTAATTTTGCTAAATATTGTTATATGATTTTTTTAAGAATTGTCAACAGTAAATCTAATTTATAAAATAATGTAATACCTGAGGGGAAAAACTCTATGTACTACGCTTGAAGTGTAAACTATATTATATAATGAAATACATGTTTTTAAATTGAATTAAAATTGAGACATAACTTAATGAAATTCTAATAAAATTATATATTCTGTATACGCCACTGCTTTTTAGAACGGTACTAATTTAAAAAACATGATCATTCCGAAACGAAATCTTTATGATGATTGTTTTCGGGTTAACCCTAAAAATACAATCTAATAAACTATTATGTCATATATTTCCTACTCTATTATTATATAGAATCAGGTGAATATGGACACTAATAACAGGTTATAAAATCTCGAGACCACATTAGACGAAATTTAAAGCCCAGTTTACAAGAAAAAAATAGGAATCGTACATGGTCAGCGAGAAAGATGAATAATAAGATGGCAATGATGTATTTAATTATAGCTAAGGAGAATAATAAATAAAAATGAATGGATAAATATTGCAAACTAAAGGCATTTAAATTTATACACCTGCTAAATATATTTTGTAAAATTGCAAATTTGGCAATAAATATTTATAAAAATATGTGTGTGTGTAATTTTATATATATTTTGGTAGTTCAATAACATCTGTATAAATAATTTAAATATTGTCGATTATCTACTATGTCATTTTTATGTATCATTGTCAGGAAATGTCAATAATCCAATTCAAAGATGTTAGAAAAAAAACCAATAATTAGTTATAAAATAAATTTCAGACAAGTAATTTTTTTCTAGACAATTAGTAAGAAATAACTTCAATTGATTTCACAATTTTAAAAACCCTTTGTTATGTATTTTATATATATATATATATATATATATATATATGTATATATATTAATTAAATACTATGAATGTGTGTAAATTAAAAGTACCTGGCGATTAGCCTACTGCTTTATAAGACTTTTGCGTGCAATGTCATGAAATTTAAGTGGCATTAATTGCTTTCAACCCTTAATGAAGCAACTTACAACAGTGCTAGAATACCAAATATAATTATTTAATTTTCCGTTCCGTTTGTCAAATAATCAAATTTTGATGGCTCCATATTATATCTCTCATAGATAATGCTTGGAATTATTAAGCAATTATTATTATTTTAATTTTTGCTTTAATTTTTGTATTTATTATTTAAACTGGATATTCATTTGAATTTAAATTTTAATTGTATTAGCTTTGCGTATTTTTAGACTATACTTGAAGATCCCATTCCATACATTCTAATTTAATTATTTGCTATATTTATTCCTGAACAAGTATTTGAAAACAAAAAATATATTTTTAAGTAAATGTTTAATCTATTTATATATAATAAGTAATAAGAAAAAATCATACATATTACAAAAAAAAAATATTTACCAAATTATCTACGTCTCATTTTAAACCCGTACGCAAATTATTAGTCAAACCTAATTCTAGCAACTATATTCGCTCTCGAGGAGATCATTTCTATACGGGTTGATTGTGATTAGTCGTCGTGTATGTGAATAGAGATCTGTCGTTGTATGCGTACCGACATCAACTTTGTTTGCGTACCGATATCAACAAGGGAATCAGCATTCATATATAAACATTTGAAAGTTACATCGTAGTACAAATCTTGATCTAATGAAAAATGCCTGAATCAGAAAAATATTTTACCCTGTTCCTTGAAAATAATAAAACAAATTAAATATTTGTGTCGTGTACTGAACGTAAGTTTATTGATTAGAAATTATTTCTATACTATTCGTAGTTTCTATAAATCTTTGAAGTTATTAAAATAGAAAATATTTTTTAAGCAAGACAAATATTACAGCTATTCAAAGAATGAGATTACATTGCCAGCAAAAAAGTAAAAAAATACAAACAGCCAATTATTGTATGTTAATTTCAATTACATGAAGTTCTTCAAACACAATTACATAATGAGTGAATTTGCGAAAACAGTATTTGTTTAGGCGTTGTTTAACATAATCCAGTGTGAACGAATATTATAGAATTTATTAATCAGCAATTACTTCATTTCTCTAATAAAGGTTCATTTCTAAATGCTAATTACAATGGCAAACCGATTATGTCATATTTCAGTATGACTTTAATTACATTATTGTTTCTAAATATTATACATATTTTTAATGCCATTATACATAATTCATAATTTATCATTGTATAAATGTATATAATGGTTGACACTATTAAATGTGCATCACGAGTGTAGTTATTTTTACTTAAATGCCATATTGTACAGTAGCAAATAAGTTTTACTTCAATTGCGTGTGAACCTTATGCGCACTCTTTTTTCAGATTAAGATTATTCAAATGCTTCAGCCATCATAAATATTTTAATGAAACTTTATTTATTCATAAATAAATTAAAGTTAGTTAAATTATATGTGTACGTATATTATAAGAAAGTGCACAATTAGAATCAGAGGAAACAAATTATTGGCAGAAAAACTTCAAGTCAAAACGATACTAAATTTGGATGTTTTTATGATACTATATTGGATTAATGACTTTAAATGTTGTAAATTTATTACAACTAGGCACCAAAAGGATGACAGTATTATTTGTAAGATACAAATGATACAAAAATACAAAGTCCAAGTTCGTTTCTGTATCTAAAACTGAGTATTTCAAACGTAGATTGATAAAATATCGATTATACAATTTTCTTATTAGTATTGTTCGTGTAGCATCATTCGTTAATTGAAAGACAGTAAGCATTCCGACAGACAGTGAAGAGAATTCAATTTAGAAAGCTTTTTTCTTTACTAAAATAAGCTGATTGAAGTGACCAAACAAATTTCAAGTAATTTTGTATTATTGGTTAGAGTGCATTATATATTTTTAGTATTTGTACTCAGTAGTATAGAGAATGTGTTTGAAGGCACAATAAAATTTGTTTTACCATAACGCACCTACTAGTTGAAAGAGCCTTTATTTTTGAAAATTAATTGTTTTATTAAGATTGAAGATTTATTAAGGACAAATTTTATTTTTGTGAAAACCCTTCTAGAAGTAATTCCAAAGTATCAATTATCATCATGTTTTCATCAGCCTTAATTAGAAGTGATTTATTTTTATAAGATTTTGTTGAAGTTCAAAAATTCACACATTAGGTTGTATTTGAAGTAGGTACTAGAAATTTTACTTCTTTGATAAATGTGTCAGAGTGGTGATTGGTGCAGTAAAGTAGCAAAAGAATTAGTACACTACGTAATCAGGTAATTATTTAATAATAATGAAAACTGAAAGAATTAGCAAATATTGCATATACAATATTAATATTATATATTTATTTCATAAGAAATTTAATTTATCAACCGCAGAAATAATTTTTGATGTCTACAGTCTGTAAATGATAAAAAAAATAGTTAATCCAAACAGAGGTTCTACTATTCTACTATTGATAAACCTACTATCTGTACTTGTAACAAAACATTTTTAGAATTTATAATGAATTTAATATATGTACAAAAAAATTAAATTAAAATATATATTTGCTTGCTCTTTAAAAGTAACTTAATTTTGCTTTCACGAAACAATAAGTAAAAAGTAATTTTTTTAGAAGAACTCATGAAATGATACACATGAGTCGTGATTCTAAAATTAGCCGTGCCATGAATTTTGGAAGATATCGACTTGTTATAAACTCCCTTAGATCCAGGTAAGTCATGTCATGTTACAGTTATATAAATAACCATATTAATAAAAAAAAGAAATACAAAATTCATTCCACTCAAAATCTCAATCTAAATATCGCAACTTTCATTTATTTTTCCAAATTGTTTTATAAAAAAACAAAGACGTCAACCTGACGATGATTACGATCTGTCAGAAGTGCAAACTCTGGAAGCGCCCGAAGAAGTTAAAGATTGGCTAGCTTTTACTTTCACAAGACAATTGGCATCCCGCATGGGCGCTGAAGAAAATAAACCAAAATTCAAAACTGTGGCCCAGGCTGTCAGAGCCGGACTTTTGGTGGACAAAATTTATGATAGGCTCACTCTACCTCCAGTCAATATGAAGTTCCCGAATGAGGTTACGGAAATGCTCAAGGTGAGTTGACATTTGGAAATTTGAAAATATGACTTGAAATCGAAATTACACATATTAGTATCGTCATATGTATCGATATATTTTTTGGGAATTACTCAAAAAGTTTGTTTTAAATATTTCGTAAGACGTTATATATAATTGCTTGAGGCATCTACGACCCCAGAACTAATTGATTTTCCTCCTCTAAGAAAAGAACAACTAGTGGTGTATGGCATCGTGTCTTAAGGAAAATTGCTGGAACTTCCCGTACCGTAATGAAATATTCGATGAATAAAAAATGTTTTCAAACAGATCATTATAAATACTGCAACACTCATTATTCTTGTTCTATAGATATAATATAAAAGCTTATGAAATAGGACAACGGCGTTTATATATTTATTATAGAAAAGTAAATAAACAAAACTCAGTTCTCTCAAACGGTGTCATTTTTTGCACATTTAGCTACGTGTCTCCGCAACGGCTGGACCTGCCTTTTCCAAAAATTAAACCAAAAACATCATTACGAATTGAATCTTTTTTGGGTCATTCAAATCGGATGCTCCGTTCTCTCAATAACTTAATTTTTATTTTTTGCATTCTTTGTTCAGTATCTCAGTAAACTAATCAGCACATCTCCCTATCAATAGTAATCGAATGTTTTTTTAAACCATTCAAATCGATTGATTCGTGCGCCTGAAAACGTGGAGGAAAAATTGTATCCATACACATACGAACAAACATCAATTTTTTCTTAGGTATGCCAAAATGTTCAGAAACTTTCAAAACGTGAAAATATGAAAAAAAGAGTGCGCGTAATGATCACACACGGTTGAAGTAAAACTTATTTGCTACTGTACAAGATGGTATTTAAGTAAAAATAAATACATCATATAACAATTTTGAATAATGTTTATTAGTAATATGGTAACACTCGTGATGTACACATTTATTAGTGTCAACCATTATACACATTTATATAATGATAAATTATAAATTATATAGTTATAATAGCATTAAAAATATCTCTAATATTTAAAAATAAAAATTTTATTAAAATTAATCGATTTGTCATTGTAATTACTATTTAGTAATGAACCTTCATTAGAGAAATAAAGTAATTGCTGATTAATAATTCTATAATATTCGTTTAAACAGTGGATAATGTTAAATAAAGCCTGAACAAATGTTGTTACCGCAACTTTACTCATCATGTAATAATTGTGTTGAAGAACTTCATGTAATTAAAATTAACATACATTCATTGACTGCTTGTATTTTTTTTACTTTTTCGCTGATGATATAATCTCATTTTTTGAACATCTGTAATATCTGTCTTACCTAAAGAATATTTTTCATTTTAATAACTTCAAAGATTCATAGAAACTACGAATAATATAGAAATAATTTCTAATCAATAAACTTACTAATCATTAGTCTTATTAATCAATATTTTCAAAGAACAGAGTAAAATATTCTTCTGATTCAGAAATTTTTCACTAAAACAAGATTTGTACTACAATGTAACTTTAAAATGTTTATTTACCTATGCCGATTTCCTTGCTAATATCGGAACCCATACAACGACAGATCTCTATTCACATACACGATGGCTAATCACAATCGACCCGTATTAAAATGATTTGTACGGATTTACGCCCTAGTCGCGCCTAAAGAAATTTTACTTCAAAAATTCAATTTCGATTTTTGGATGATTACAATAACTTACTCCACGGGAAGTTAAAAAGCTCAATTTATCACAGATTTGAACAAAGAGAATTACAATTTTCAATTTACATCAATTATACAACAACCAAATAAATCATATTATTATAAATCTATCTTTTCATTCCTCAGTTATCGAACGAGTGGGATTTCGACATTTTTGCGTTCAGTCAAGTCGCAAATGACCATCCCATAAGATATCTTGGCTATGACATATTGAATCGATATGGATTATTGCACAAATTCAAGATACAACGTAATACATTAGAAGCATTTCTCAATAAAATTGAAGAAGGATATATGAAATATAACAATTTGTATCACAACAATCTACACGGAGCTGATGTGGCACAGACAGTCCATTATATGATTTACAAAACTGGACTGATGGTAAGGAGATAAAAATTGAGTATATATTAGTTTTATATTATATTATAAATAATTCTATTTTTGTAGAATTGGTTAACAGATTTAGAAATATTTGCGACTTTAATTGCGGCTATAATACACGACTATGAACATACAGGTACAACAAATCATTTTCATGTCATGTCTGGTAGTGATATCGCTTTGTTGTACAACGATAGAGCTGTCTTAGAAAATCATCACATCAGTGCATCATTTCAGTAAGTAATAAAAAAAGTCCTTAAATAATATATCTCAATATACAGATCAAATATAATCTTTCACACTAAGCCGCAAATCTATATCATAATCATTCAAAAGCTTTTCGAAAATGGATCAATTTATTGCATACAAAGTGATTATGTACATGGTCACTTTTTTGGTTTTTGAATGTTCCTGCTTGAAAATTATTTAGAGTTCTGATTTTAATTTTGAAATTGATAACTATAGTATTTTTTTACTATTTTATAGATTATTCCGAGATGAGCAATATAACATATTATCCCAATTATCAAAAGACGAATATCGTGAATTCAGAGCTTTGGTTATCGATATCGTCTTGGCTACAGATATGTCCCATCATTTTCAACAATTGAAGAATATAAAAAGTGCTATGGCTATATTTGCTGAGGATCCCAGTGCAGAAATCGATAAAACAAAAGCTCTATCACTTGTAGTACATATGTGTGATATTTCACATCCAGCAAAGGTAAGTGGAAGAGAATTTTTGGATTCTTCTTGTTATCCATAAAAGTCTTCGTCCTTTCATGATTGCCTTGCATGATATATATTATGTATCATGTTTTCCATAAAAATATTTTTTTTTAGAAATTCTCCTGACCTATGTGTTCGGACGTCTTTTCGTTTTATTAGATTGGTCATTAAGATGACAAACTTCAGGGCATTAAGCTTTACACGGAATGATTGCTTCCCCTGGAAAAGGGGGTAGCGGAGTGTTTTAATTGAACTAGTTGTTCACTTAAAAAAGTAAAGTCCGCTTGACAACATGTAAATAACCAATAAAAATAGATATATCTTCTTGCAATATAACTTAGTAACAAATCAGTGATTGTAATTAGAACTCAAACAAATACATAATATACAAACAAATCATTGTTAATACAGTTCACAGTTGCAAGGGTTAAATTATAATCATAATCAGTAAAATTATCATAAATAAAAAATCATCTGTTTTATTGCATATGATGTTTCTTTCCATTAAATTTTTGTAGAGAAACAAAATATATTCTTCTATCTTAGTCAACACTTTCAAAAACACATCAAGGTGTATATTTTATTGCAATGATACATTGTATTTAAAACAATGATTATCGATTGAAAAGTGGGACAATCGTTTATATACGATTTCATATCAATATGAAACCGATGCGATACTAATTTACCGCAAATTATTTGTTAATAAACATCCACATGTTCTCACATGTGGAGAAAGTTAACAGACGGTTATGAAACGAAATTTAATTGGTCGAAGAAATGCACTTTTCTCTTTGAAGAAATCGATATTAGTTTATTTCATGCAGTACAAAAATTATATTTAATCTATAATAAATATATTCGTAAAATTAGAACGCTTTAGTACATAAATCGCTTTTCATCCACGATATCAATATTCTTATATGCCAAAAATCTTCAAATTGATAATAGTTAATCTTAGAAAATTTTGGTTTTAATATTTGAATTAAACATGCCTAGAAGTCGATATTTTTCTTAGATAAGACCTTCTTTGTATAGTAAAAACTAACCACATTATTATTAAAAGCCGAAGAAAAGTTTTCTGAGAGGAAATTCATTCTGCTTTTGAATGTTGCTTATATATATTTCATCTCATCTGAATAGATGCTTCTACTCTATTTATAGTATTTAAAACTTTCATTTGATTTTTTTTTATTTTTGCAGCCTTGGAAGTTGCACTATAAATGGTCGGATCTTCTGTCAGAAGAGTTTTTCCGCCAAGGAGATTTGGAGTACAGTCTTGGTTTACCATATAGTCCTCTTTGTGATAGAAATAATACATTGGTTGCAGAGTCCCAAATAGGTATTTTAAATACCATATTATTTAACAATTTCTAAAATTGCTATCCCTCAAAAACTCACCGATGTTGGAGATAGAAAAGTTTTAAAGCCATTTTCAGAAAAAAAGTGTTTTGGAGATTGTCATCAGAAATTTATAATATGGTTATCGCACAACAAATAGATCACCAGATCAGAAAAAATAATTTAAGAAACGGTATTCTGATACATATTGCTGAAATATTTCTAAAAATAGATGAATCAATATAACACAATCAAATCTATCTATATGTTACTTAATCAATTAGAGATAATTGTATATAATTACACCATTGTTGAGATGAAAATAAAAATAGGTCGTATTGAACAAACCCTACATGTATGTGCCAAGGTTAGTAAGGGTGGATATTTACGTTTTAAATCAGATAAAATTGCCTTCAAAACATTTAGCATTGTTAAAGTAATATTGAGACAACACTGTTATTATAAAATAGAGATATGGTATTAACCAGGCAATCAATAGTACAAATTTTAACTAGTTGGTATTGGTATTTTGCCTTAAGGCAAGTAGATTTTCACCTGAAACTAATCGGTATCGTTCCCAACTAATATCTTTCGAATAGTTTTTGATTTCTTAAAATCAATTCGGTAGTGTGAGCTTAAATGTGGACATAAAGTTTTACACTTTTTTCCAAATTACAAAGAAACGGCTCGACCGATCGTTGCACAAAACTGAGAAACGATAATCCTCATCAAGATACATCAAATGGCTTTTAAATTTCTGAAATCGGATCAGGCGTTGTTGACCAAACGTCGATGAAATTAGCGAATCGGATTTTTAGATGAAAACATAACCTTCTCCTTCGGGAAGTTAAAAATACCTTATATAACTATTATTTTGAATATAATGACATAATTTAAGCCAAAACATACTGATTTTTTCATTCGTGTGTTAGTTAATATTATTAGATATTTTTATGGTAAGGCCAAATAAAAAAATGTTATTATACAACCAACGTTGTTTATTTTAGGATTCATCGACTACATTGTAGAACCGTCCATGATCGTATGTGCAGAAATGTTAGAAAGCATTTTAAAACCCTTAAGTGATACATGCACCAATTATTTTGCAAAAAAGGAAGAGGAACTAGAAAGTACATAGTTTTTCTATTACGTATTATATATTAGTAGTTCGAATGCACATAGAATAAATTGGCACTTTATAACTAAGCTATAAATGAAATTGTAAGCCAAAAGCATGCAAATATTATAGGTGATGAAAGCCAAGAAGAGAAAGGTTTTGTAATTGAAAAACCGTGGATTGCGTTTATTGCGGAAAATAAAAGTAATTGGAAAGAACGAGCTGCAGAAGGTAATAATTTACTGCTGTTTTATAAACAAACTTCATTCAATAAAATTTGTAATCTTCAGAAGCTGCTTTGAGGGCTGAACAAGAGAAAAAGTTGCGAGAGCTTGAAGAAACGCTCGATTCTATTGAAATTGAAAATGAGAAACTCAGCGAATAAATTGATGCAAAATTTAATTTTTTTTGAAAATAAAATATATAATTTTAATAGTGATTTATAAATATTAGCAAAGATTAAATTCAAATTTATGCAACTGCTAAAGTATTTATCATGTTACCTGAATGCTCAATCAAAATGTAAAAGATGTATATTGAATAGTGTTTTGTAGATATAAATTTGTAGAGTTGTAAATAAATAACAAAAAATAATGAGTAGCTGTTTACAGCACCTAAAAAATAATATAATAAAATAATATGGTTATGATTTGCATGTAAATTAGTTGATGGATATGGTTTTGATACTAATATTGTTAAAAAGATGAAATCTGATAAAAAACAAATTAATGGCTCGAAAGAAAATATTTGGATACGTTTGTTAAAAGTATCAATTTACGATTTTAACATTACGAGATCCATAATTTGTATAAATTACTTAGGAAAATCAATTTTAAACAAAATTTACAGGCAAAATGACTAAACATTTACAGCAATATCATATGATAAATACGATGTTTTAACGTATAACAATACATTATTGTAAAATAACAATATTATTTTCAACTATTAATTACTACAAAGCAGAAATGTTATGTTTTAAATTGTTATATGCGAAAAATGGCTCTGCAAATTTCTACATATATATCGGAGAAGTTTAAAAATAATTGCACCGATAGAACTTGTTTATTTTCAAAATACCTGCAACAAGTTTAATATGAAATTTACGAGAAAATATTGGGCTCATTTTACTAAAAAGTAAACAAGAAATTTTCCAATTGGGAAAAAAATCACAATTCATTGTTGAATTTGAAAAACCTACTTGAGGTGTTGAGTTGCATTAATGAATTTTATAATAGATGCAACTATTATACACATATAGGAAAATATATTATAAAATTAGCAAATAGTATTTCTGAAAAAAATAGTTGGTCACATACAATTAATTTTTTAATTTTAGTTCCATTTTTCTTTTAAGTCTTATACCTTACGTATCCTAAACTAGTTTTGCAGTCTATTTCATTTTTATTTGTATTTAAAGTTGATTTTTTTGCGAAAACATTGGCAAACAAATCCCAATTAACTATTGATTTTGATGAAGCTACTTGAGATGAGTTGAGTTTCATTAAATAAATTTTATAGTAGATGCAACTCTTGTAAACAAAATTACTTTTTCGTAAAATTATATTTGCGAATCGTATTTTGGGCAAAAACATTTAGGGTAGAGCTTTGCTTAAAGGTCAATGGGTAAAAAGAAACAGATCAACATTTTTTTTGAAATTAACAAAAACTAGTGGAGCATAGCATCGTGCCTTGAGGCAAATTGATAGAACATTCCGTACAGTAAACTAAATTATTAAAAAAAGATATTGCAAAACTTCGAAAAAATTAGATGTTTGAGAAATTTAGAATTTTTTGAAAAAATGACTTTTTTGAAAAATTTCATTTTTTTATTATTTTGATTTTTTTTATATTTTGATTTGTTTTGAAAATTATGAAAATTTTTTAACGCACTGGATAGCTAATTTGGAGTCAAAATATCAAATCGCGTGAGAGCCGCGATGTCATCTAACGTGTAGACATTGGTACGAAACCCATATAAATGTATAAGAAAATTGTACTTATTATTATAACCTTTATAAAATATCTAATAATACGATGTATATATGTCTAATGTTCGGTTTTGACCGCCAAAAGGCTTTAGTTTTCACTTGTTTTATTTGGTCTCCGGAGACGCTGGGCCTTCTCAAAAATTTCACCAGTTGTTAATTTCAAATAAAATGTTTTTTGAATAATTTAAATCGGACGCTCCGCTATCTCAAAAATTTAAATACTATTTTTGGCACTTTTTTCCCGTATCTCCTAAACGGCTAGACCTGTCTTTGCCAAAAACTAATCAGCACGTGTCCTTATCCAGTTTTTCTAAAGTATGCCAACATTTTCAGAAACCTCTGACACATAAAACTATATAAAAAATTTCATTTTCGATTTTTGTACGATTACTAGAACTTATCCTACGGGAAGTTAAGAAGTAAAATAACGAATTAGCTGAAAATTTTGCTGAACATAGTTAGATAGTTGTTTGATGTGTATTATTTGTTTTGATATAGCTTGTTTGGATTTTACAGCATAGTTACTTAAACTCGAATTGAACCTTTGTGCCCCAACCTATCCCATTTTTTTCAGGAAATTATGACAAAAAATTGCAAAACTTAGCCCATCAGAAGTTTCGTCTATCTCTATCCTAACCATTCATCTGCCGAACGCGCGTACCTTTAATAATAAACGATGACGGCGATGGCTGTTTTCATCCGATGGATTTTGAATGCGCCACCTTGCAATATGCAAGTTCTATAACAATAAGGTTCGTGTACCAGACGCAAAGGTATGGCACAGGCACAGGGCAACAATATAATATAATACGTTTTTCTAACGGCCCGAGCTGAGCCCGGTGTCACAATTGATCCATATACGAAGCATAGAGGTGTATGGGATGTGTGTTTAACATATCAAATATATAGGTACACTGGATGAATTAAAAATTTATCAAAATAGCGAATCGCGCTTATTCACCAAATGAATAGGTACCCACCCTTTTGTTATGTAATGAAACTCACATATAGACTTTTTGTATAGTACACTTAACTCTATGTTGACACTTGTATTTTACATTTAAGTTCTTACATAAAATATAATTAGAAGACAAAAAAAATCAGGTTCTTCTGGGTACTTTAAAAATAAATATTTTGTGCTCAGATATTATAATGTACATTAAAATTTACAATTTTGCTGCAAGAGATGACTCACTAGAAAAACCTCAGATTTTCTTTTCTGGGATTTTGATGAAACTTTGTATAGTGACAAAGTTGATACTCAGACCAAGCCGTCTAAAATATTATAGACATATGAAATGAGTTGAGTTTCATTAAATAAATTTTAGTTGCATTAATAAATGCAACTCTTGTACACATACTTAGTTTTTCAAAAAAGAAAAGTGGTAATACGACTATCTCTTTTCGTTAATATAATTTGATAATTTTAATAAAATGCCTTTATATAAAATGCAGATTACACATACAAATATAATCAAAAATAATATATCGCAATTTATGTGAAAAAGTTATGCAAAAAAAATGGTTTTGGTACTTACATATCAATGAAAGTTTTTGAGTCTCCACAAAAATAGACTTTCTATGTGTCTGGTACATCTGGAATAAAAATATGTTCATAAGTATGACAAAAATTTATAATTTATCATATGATATAATATATTATATTATGAATATTATATATTATGTTTATGTTAATACATGCTGTTTCAAATATACGAACAGGTAATAATTTTAAGTCGTTTTACCAAGTAAATAAAATAATCTAATTTTATTTTTTCTATTTGGTTTGCGAGAAAGAAAAATAGCAATTTGGGGCTGATTTAACTTAGTACATCATTTATTGCATTTTAAAATACTGCAATAATCAGCAAAATTATTTAAAATGCAATCATTAAAAACCATTTTCAATGTAAAAAACATCGTGTGCGATTGCAATAGTTTTCAAATTACTAATCATATTATTATTATTTAGGTACAATCATAGTAAGTAATAGTAACGATAAAAAATGAAATGTATTTTTGAATGGCAAAAAAATTACGAAATATTACAAGACAAGGGAGGTAGTAGTAAAATATCACATGTATTTATTTTAAATTTAAAATATAAAAATCCAAAAAGTTGACGTTTTTGCAGGTACTAAAAATACACCTGATTGGTGGGGTTTGGGGTATACTTTAGGTACCATCCTAGTAAGTAATAGTAAGGAATAAAAAATGAAATGTATTTTTGAAGGGCAAAAAAATTACTAAATATTACAAGAGAAAAGAGGTTGTAGTAAGATATCACAGATATTTATTTTATTTTTAAAATAAAAGAATCCAAAATGTTGATGTTTTTGTAGGTACTAAAAATACACCTGATTGGTGGGGTTTGGGGTATACTTTAGGTATCATCATATTCAGTAATAGTAACCATAAAAAATGAAATTTGAAGAGCAAAAAAATTACTGAACATTACAAGAGAAGGGAGGTAGTAGTAAAATATCACATGTATTTATTTTAAATTTGAAATAAAACAATCCAAAAAGTTGACGTCTTTTGTTGGTACAAAATATACACCAGATTTGTAGAGTTTGGGAGCTAATTATAAATATTACACCACAACTAACCAAGGGAAGAGAAGAAGATTGAAAAATGCTTGATAAAAGATAACATGATTAATGAATGACCCCTAATCACATAAAAGTATATAGAGTCTTGTAAGCCGAAGAAAAAACATGCTAGTTTCAAAGTTTCGAAATATTATTTTTCGTTATTTTCAATATTCATTGTTATTTCCATTATTGTTTTTAATCTACTTTATTGTTTTTTTTAGTATTATTTTTATTATTCATAAATTTTATTTATTTTACTTATTAATTATATTATTAATATTATTATTTGCTTTTTATTATAGATTATATTAAATCATCATAATACAGATATCATTTTAATGTAAATACTACCCTTCATTTTGTACTCTATTTTATTTATATCTATGTTATTGTTTGTTAATGCTACTAGATGTTATATTATTTAGCAGTTATAACAAATAATGTAATTTAAAAAAAAATATTATTTTCATAGATTTTTTGCTTGGAACACAAACACATAATAATAATAATCACACAGTTTCAAATCACAAGTTCATCAAGCGATTAAAATTTATTAAAAGATTAAAGTGGTACAATACGGATATCATTTTAATGTGATTTAAATACTATCCTTTATTTTGTAATCTCTTTTATTTATATTTATCTTATTGTTCGTTAATGTTACTAGATGTTATATTATTTAGCAGTTGTAACAAATATTGTAATTTAAAAAAAAATGTTATTTTCATAGATTATTTGCTCGGAACACAAACACATATTATTAATAAATCAAAAGCCCATCAAACGATTAAAGTTAACTA